TCCTCACCAGGCTTCTCTCACATTGTAATTCCAGCATTGCATCTTCAAATCAAAAATCAGCCGTAAATTCACCTAGTTCTTTGCATTAAACTGGATTAGCCATTGTAAATGATTGGTTTTGGGGTAGACTTTAAAATCTTGCATTATTTATGTATGCCTTGCCTGCTACACTAGATTATGACAGTTTGAGTGTAGCACTCTTCATTTAAAATATTTGTGGTTTGCAATTATAAGGATATTAGCAAAATAAGATCATTTCACTTGGGGGAAAACTGACAGCTTCTGCGTACTAGTGTTTGCGGCAAAATGTAAAAATTGCCTACGACCAGAGACCTATGGTGTTGAATTTAACTATTAATTTCTTAGAACTCGATCCTATATTTTACCGTGACCCTGCCCACTAGGAATTTTCATGATAAACGAGAGGGGGACTGAACAATTGCTGGGAGCCATAGTTAAGTTAATCTTTCATCATGTAAAAGCCTTGCTTGAGAACTCCTGGAGTATGAATTGTCTCTTTTTTTTTTTGATGGAGTCTCACTCTGTCGCCAAGGCTGGAGTGCAGTGGCGCGATCTCCGCTCACTGCAAGCTCTGCCTCCCAGGTTCACGCCATTCTCCCGCCTCAGCCTCCTGAGTAGCTGGGACTACAGGCGTGTGCTGCCACCTCGCCGGCTAATTTTTTGTATTTTTAGTAGAGATAGGTTATCACCATGTTGGCCAGGATGGTCTCAATCTCCTGACCTCATGATCTGCCCACTTTGGCCTCCCAAAGTGCTGGGATTACAGGCATGAGCCACTGTGCCCGGCCTGTCTGTCTCTTAATGTCTAGTTTCTATAGTAGAGCACAGCCAGATTGAAGACAGTCCTAAGATGATGTGTGTGCGTGTGCATGGTAAAGCAGTTCATTAGGAATCTTCCGAAATGCAGCTGGCACAGTAGCTCAGGCCTGGAGTCCAAACACTTTGGGAGGCTGAGGCAAATGGAGGGCTTGAGCCTACGAGTTCCAGACCAGCCTGGGCAATATAGCAAGAGCCCTCTCTATTTAAAAAAAAAAAATAAAAGGAAAATGTTTAAAAAAGAAATATTTGGGCCGGGCGCGGTGGCTCAAGCCTGTAATCCCAGCACTTTGGGAGGCCGAGACGGGCGGATCACGAGGTCAGGAGATCGAGACCATCCTGGCTAACACGGTGAAACCCCGTCTCTACTAAAAAGTACAAAAAACTAGCCAGGCGAGGTGGCGGGCGCCTGTAGTCCCAGCTACTCAGGAGGCTGAGGCAGGAGAATGGCGGGAACCCGGGAGGCGGAGCTTGCAGTGAGCTGAGATCTGGCCACTGCACCCCAGCCTGGGCGACAGAGCGAGACTCCGTCTCAAAAAAAAAAAAAAAAAAAAAAAACAAAGAAATCTTCGGAAATCCCAAGTTTGTTGACTGACCATTGTACTTGGGAAAGTCGGGTCAGGATGCAGGTGAAGGAGCCATATTTGAGACAGGGAAGTTTTCATTTTAGTCCTAAGATAACTGGGTAATAAGTGTCGATTTTGTGATTTCTGACTTCCTCCGAACTCTGAAAGATCCCTGATAGAGTTCTTGTCAGTTGGTCACGATGTATTTTCTTCTTTTAATCTCTAGAAGTGATGAAGCCCGTCCCTACTTTTGGAGAGAGTATCACAGGCCAGCTTTGGCATAATGAGAAACAGCAATATCTTCACTGGTCAGAATTTGTGAGCACATGATTGCTCCCCCTGTGAGAAGAGACAGGAAGTGCTGCTCTTTTAGCCGTCCTTGTAGATGACCTTTGCTGTGCAGGGTGGGCTGGCGAGGAGGACCAGGTTGCAGTAAGCTCTCCATGGCCATGTCCTTCGATGTTGGGACGGGGAATGGGGAGTCCTGATTCTCGACCCCCATCATCTTCCCGCACACCAGCTTCATACACTTCGTCCCCAGCTTAATACTCTTATTGTAAGCTCCTTACTGCAAAGCGTTCGGCTCTCAGTAGACTCGAAATTGTTTCTCTTGCAGGATGATTGAGTAATAACAATATGACTGTCTTAATGTCAATATGAATTTGTCTCATCTTGTCTGAAACATAATTGAACAAGTTCAGGTTCAGACAGGTCTTAGAAGAGCAGTTTCTTCACACACATACACACACACACAGACACACTTTGTTTTTTATCCTTTCTTAACAGTTTCCTAGTAGAATAAACTGGCTGGGTTGTTGTGTATGTATACACTGTGAGGCTGCTGATTAGTTCTTATTAGAAGACCTCCCCCAATAATCAGAGCCTATCGTGTGTGTGTGTGTGCGTGTGTGTGCTGTCAGTGTTGCCAGGTACAACAGGAATTATCAGTAGCAGTCATCAGATTCCTTTTAGCAGAAAAAGATCTTCAACTCTGACTTAGTGTTTTTTCTTTTTTATCCTTTTTGTTGTTGTTTTTGAGACACAGTCTCCTTCTGTCCTCCAGGCTGGAGTGCGGTGGCGCAATCTCAGCTCACTGCAACCTCCACCTCCCGGGTTCAAGTGATTCTCCTCCCTCAGGCTCCCGAGTAGCTGGGATTACGGGCGTGCGCCACCAGGCCTGGCTAATTTTTGTATTTTCAGTAGAGACAGGGTTTCACCATGCTGGCCAGGCTGGTCTCGAACTCCTGACCTCAGGTGATGCATCCACCTCGGCCTCCCAAAGTGCTGGGATTTCAGGTGTGAGCCACCACACCCGTCCGGGAGTCTTTCTTCATCTCACTCTGTCACCCAGGTTTGAGTGCAGCTGCGTGGTCATAGCTCACTGCAGCTTTGAACTCCTAGACTCAAGTGATCCTCCTACCTCAGCCTCCCAAGTAGCCGGGATTACAGGTGTGAGCCACTGCACCCAGCAACCAAGAGTCATTTTTAAAAATGCCATTTAGAAAGTTTTTACTTGTATTTGTTTACATACTTATTAATTTGACACAGGGTCTCCTATGTTGCCCAGACTAGAATGCAGTGGTGGGCTCTCGGCTCACTGCAGCCTCAACCTCCCAGGTTTAAGCAATCCTCCCACCTCAGCCTGCTGAGTAGCTGGGACCCCCATTTCCAGCTAATTTTTGTATTTTATGTAGAGATGGGGTTTCCTTATGTTGCCCAGGCTGGTCTCAAACTACTGAGCTTAATTCATCTGGCCGCCTCTGCCTCCCAAAGTGCTGGGATTATAGGCGTGAGCCACCACGCCCAGCCTAAAGTTTTTACTTTAAAGAAAGAAATTTTCAGGCTGGACACGGTGGCTCACACCTGTAATCCCAGCACTTTGGGAGGCCGAGGTGGGTGGATCACGAGATCAAGAGATCGAGACCATCCTGGCCAACATGGTGAAACCCTGTCTCTACCAAAAATACAAAAATTAGCTGGGCGAGGTGACATGCATCTGTAGTCCCAGGTACTCGGGAAGCTGAGGCAGGAGAATCACTTGAAACCAGAGGCGGAGTTTGCAGTGAGCTGAGATTGCGCCACTGTACTCCAGTGACAGAGTGAGACTCCATCTCAAAAATAAATAAAAAAATAAATTTTCAATACAGTGGTGCCACTGGTTTTTTTGTTTTTTTTTTTGAGACAGAGTTTCACTCTTGTTGCCCAGGCTGGAGTGCAGTAGCGCAATCTCGGCTCACTGCAACCTTTGGCTCTCGGGTTCAAGCAGTTCTTCTGCCTCAGCCTCCTGAGTAGCTGGGATTATAGGTGCGCGCCCTCACACGCAGCTAATTTTTGTATTTTTAGTAGAGACGGGGTTTCATCATGTTGGCCGGGATGGTCTTGAACTCCTGACCTCAACTGATCTGCCTGCCTCGGCCTCCTAAAGTGCTAGGATTATAAGCATGAACCACCACGACCCGGCCGGTGCCACTGGTTTTTAAAGTGGAACTTGAGTCCCTCTAGTGGATAGGATATAATTCACCTTCCCAGCTTGAGATGGAATGGAAGCTGCCAGTCATGATTTTCTTGGAACCAGCTTTCAAATCCAGTCTTCTCATCAGCGCTGGTGTCACCCTCCCCAGCTAAACGGCAGTGCTTAGCTCGCCGCTGGGTTGGTCCTGACGTCAGCCAAGATTCAGGAGTCCTCCTCCTCTGCCCATGTGATCTGAGTGGCCCTGATCCTTCCTTGCATGTAATCTCACAGCTGTGATTCACCGGCTGCTTTATCTCAAGCCTCAGCAAATATAAACGCAAAACTACAACTTGACGATGTTTATGCCGTGCAGTTCTTTCTAGCAAAGAACACAGTGCCCCCAGGGTCCTTGAGTTGTCATGGAAGAAATAATTGTGCAGGTCTGCTTTGGGTACCACAGGTACATGAAGGACGTTTAGCAGTTGGAGGAGTTACGTCGTGACAGGCAGAACAAAGGCAGTGTGGTACGGCTGGAAAGAACTTGGGTTGAGCGTTCAGTCCTAACTGCGGTTACTATGTGACCTTGAGCTGTGGTGACATAGCCTTTCTGTATCTTAGTTTTCCCTTTTGTAAAATAGGGAGATGCCAGAACTCTATCTTGTGGGGTTATTTTTTTAGTTAAAAAAATTTTTTGTTTAAAGAGACAAGGTCTCACCCCATTTCCTGGGCTAGATTGTGGTAGCACAGTCAGAGCTCACTGCAGCCTGGAAGTCTTGGGCTCACATGATCCTCCCTTCTCTGCTTTCAGAGTAGCTGGGACTCCAGGTGTACACCATTGTGGCTGACTGGTTTTAAACATTTTTTTAGAGATGGAGGTCTTACTGTGTTGCCCAGGCTGATCTCAAACTCCTGGGCTCACGTGATCCTGCCATGGCCCCCAAAGTGCGGGGATTATAGGCAGGGACGACCGCACCCTGCAGGGTTGGTTTAAGTGCTGGAAATAACACATACAAAAGCCTTTGTGTTTTCCGTGCTCTGTGATTGGTAGCAGAAGTTGTGGAAATTTTCTCTGAGTTCATTACAATGCATGAGGTTTAATTATTCGGATCACTTTCTTCTCTTTTCCATGCTTCCTTTTTCTTCAGTCACCACCAAGTAAGCGGAGAAAATTAGAGAAGCCAAGGAAGCCCATTACATTTGTGGTGCTGGCATCCGTGATGAAAGAGTTGTCCCTCAGAGCATCGTCCCTGGGCTCTGAGACGGCGGAAGGCATCGTGGCTGTCACAGCATGGATTGAACAAATTCTCACGGATTTGAAGGTACCTGGGTGACCATACTGATGAAGTACTCATAACGATCCTTCTCTCTGTTTTCTTTTTTTCATCGAGAGTTTGGAGAGAGGGGAAAAGTGATTTCCCATAAAATTCTGTTTTTCCTCCAAACAGGTCCAGCATAAACGAGTTCCCTGTGGAAAAGAGGAAGTTAGCCTTTTCCTAACGGCCATAGAAAACTCCTGGATTCATTTAAGGAGGAAGAAAAGAGAGCGAGTGAGACAGCTGAGAGAAGTTCCTCGCGCTCCCGAGGATGTCATTCAGGCCTTGGAAGAGAAAAAGTCCACCCCCAAAGAGTCTGGCAATAGCCAAGAATTGGCCAGGGGCCCCCGGGAGAGGGCCCCCTGTGGGCCTGCTCTGCGGGAAGGCGAGCCTGCCGCTGTGGAGGGCCCATGCCCGAGCCAGGAGTCCCTGTCCCAGGAGGAAAACCCGGAGCCCACGGAGGATGAAAGGAGTGAGGAAAAGGGAGGGGGGGAGGTTCTGGAAAGTTGTAAAGGCTCTAGCAACGGAGCCCAGGACCAAGAGGCTTCTGAGCAATTGAGCAGCCCAGTGGCTGAAAGGGGGAAACGGCTCCCAGGAGTGGCTGGACAGTACCTGTTTAAGTGTCTGATAAACGTTAAGAAGGAGGTGGACGATGCCTTAGTTGAAATGCATTGGGTTGAGGGCCAGAACAGGGATTTGATGAACCAGCTTTGTACCTACATACGGAACCAAATTTTCAGGCTTGTTGCCAGTTAACTAGAAACTTCTTGCACAGTTGGAAAAGTGTTTATAGTAACTTGCTTTGCAGTGGCCTGTGGGGTGGCAAGAGGAATCCTACCAGTGGCCCATTAGTAGCATTATGTGGAATTGTCTTCAAACACAAAAACCAGTGAATCTGTCACCCACCTCCCCCAACCGCCTTCCTGCATTTTGAGTTACAGGGAGTTGTAGCGTGGCTCGTTTACAAGGAGGAATTGCTGTCATCAGTAACAACAAAAAGCCCTCAGTAAACTCTGAGGGATTGCAAGCTGGCTCAAGCTGCCCCTCAGCTTTGGACTGCTTCTTCAAGGCCAAAAGGGTTGTTTGTGGAGTCTGGGCTGGGCAGCACTGCCTAGAATGTCATGCTCTGTCACCCAAGGGTGTTTCTTGAGGAGGGGTGGCGCTCTCTGCCTCCAGTTGGAGGCCCTGGTACCCGCTTCTAGGTCACTCTTCGAGATGGGACCTACCTTGCGTCAGTCCCACGAAGGGAGCTAGCCATGGGTGGGTGGTGGGGAATCGGGGAGAGAAACCCTAATAATCCTAGAAGGAGGAGCAGAGTCTGGGGAGTACCCAGTAAATGGCACATTCCTGACACTTGGCTGTTTTGATGTTTCTTATTCAGAAGCAGAATTAGGTAAGCAAAACCCCCGGGTGTGACTGAGGCACACAGAAGGCACCCGTACCCCCACCTCCAGCCTGTTGAAAGTACCATTTTGTAGCAGTTTTACCACTGTATGATTTTTGTTTGGACATTTGAAGTAGAGCTTGTTTTGTTTTTAATATAGAATATTCAAAAATTAAAAACCAGTGGTCCTATTTGAATCCTGGGGTTAGCTGAGTGAGCGGCTGATGACAGAAATGAGAAATGGAACAAAATAGTATATGCCGTAGGTAGCTTAAGAAAGTCTCAGATATTTTGTTGCTGATCAAATACTGTTTTTTGTGGCTTCACTTGTAATCCCCTCTGTACTTACCTACTCACATTGGAGAGTTCTGAGGCTGGAGTAACCGTGTCCTTAAAACACGTTTCTAGTTGGAATGCCAGGGTTCAGTAGCAGTGCCCCCGGAAAAGGGGTGTCCTTAAAACACGTTTCTAGTTGGAATACCAGGGTTCGGTAGCAGCCCCCCCGGAAAAGGGGTGACCTTTTGCTGTGCTTGACTTAACAGTTCGATGTTGCATCAGCAGCCTAGGGTTCTCTTTAGACTAAAATCTTCGCCAGGGCTCCTTGCCATCTGCTAAGAAGACTGGGGCTGAGTAGTTAAGCCAGCCTTCTGAGAGGTGGCTGTTGGTTAGGACAGGAAGCTGGTGACCTTGGCATATCTTGGCATCTGCTAGATCAGGCCCTTAGCAGAGACACAGGAAGTGGAACTACTGTGCTTTCGTTTGGCTGTGGAGCTGGAGCTAGAGAAGACAGCATACTGACCAGTGGCTTTTTGATTGTTTTGAGAGGGAGTTTCACTCTTGTCGTCCAGGCTGGAGTGCAGTGGCGCGATCTCAGCTCACTGCAACCTCTGCATCCCAGGTTCAAGCGATTATCCTGCCTCAGCCTCCTGAGTAGCTGGAATTATAGGCACGTGCCGCCATGCCCGGCTAATTTTGTGTTTTTAGTAGAGATGGGATTTCACTATGTTGGCCAGGCTAGTCTCGAACTCATGACCTCAGGTGATTCACCCACCTCGGCCTCCCAGAGTGCTGGGATCACAGCCGTGAGCCACCACACCCAGCCTCTGACCAGTGTTCTTAACTTGGTCCGTGGACCTCCAGAGAGTCCATATGCCTCCTAGAGTTACTTCTAAAAGTTCTGTGAGCGTGTGTGTGTGTGTGTGTGTGTGTGTGTGTGTGTTTGTGTTTCCTTTTTCCTGGAGAGAGGGTTCCCAGAACCCTCAGACATAGACAGAGGGGTCAGTAACCCACTAAGGGTTAAGAATCATTATTCTAGTTCAAGCATTCATGTGTCAGGCTGCAAAATCCAATACCCAGGGTCACACAGAGCCAAGATTCAATTCAGGACCGTGGATTCCCCTGGTCTAGTAATTTTCTGCTGTGCTAGCCCACAGCATCCCACTATCCTTACCTCGAGTGAATATCACATTTGAATCCTTTGCTGGACCCAAACCTAGTTTCCTTGGTATAATTTTAGGATAATTGGTTAAGTAGCAACTATTCACTCAGTAAGTAGTAAGAACTTATTGTTTGCTTGTTTCATTATAAAAGAGTGGCACATGCTCATCAAAGATTTGGAGAAATGAAAGTCAAAACAACAAAATCACCGCTAGTCCCAACCTTCTGTAACATAACCACTATTGGTATTGGCGTGTTTCTTTCCAGTCTCTCTATAGATGGGGTGTGTGAGTGTGTGGGTTTAACTTTGGTTGTGCTCATGCTGCATATTCAGTTTTATATTCTGGTCTTTTTTTCATTTAACATCTTACGAGTATTTTTCCATGTTACAACAGGAGTGTATTGACTTATACTCCTTGCCTGTTCAAAACGTCTTTCAGGCACGGCACTGGCCTTTAAGTCTGTCTTAGGGATTTCCAGAGAATGCTCCGTGTACTGAAGCACAGACGGTGTTTCTGTGTCTCAGTGTGTTTCTGTCCCTAGGTTTAAGGCTTCATGTCATGGAGGAGATTTTATAGATGTTAAGCTAATGATCTTAGAGTTTTAAAAAATCTGTGACAGTGGCCCACGCCTGTAATCCCAGCACTGTGAGGCTGAGGTGAGCGCATCGCATGAGGTCAGGAGTTCGAGACCAGCCTGGCCAACATGGCAAATCCCCACCTCTACTCAAAATACAAAAATTAGCCAGGCGTGATAGCACGCACCTGTAATCCTAGCTACTCGGTAGGCTGAGGCAGGAGAATCGTTTGAACCTGGGAGCTGGAGGTTGCAGTGAGCCGAGATCATGCCACTGCACTCCAGCCTGGGCGACAGAGTGAGACTCTGTCTCAAAAAAAAAAAGAACCTGAGTGAGACGGTCTCAAAAAAAAAAATCCATGAGCAGGCCGGCTTTCACAGTCTGGAGCTGAGTGCCTTCTGTGCATTTGGATGTCTCCATTTCCTTCCCGGAGAAGATTTTCTTAGACTACCTAGTGAGAGAACATTGAACATATTTTTGAAAGGACACCTAAACATTGTTTTGGTCGTGCATGTGCTTTATAATTGTGGGTTGCGTCATTGCATATACCTCTGGTACAGGTGGCAAAGGTTTTCTTTGAAGAAATAGGTTATTGACTCATACGTCATCATCTTGAGTGTTACTCTCCTTACATGTCCGGAGGTCACATTCATGTTGTTGGGTTGGCATGAAATTAAATCTCTGTGGTGTGACCCTAAATTCTCTTCTGGTCCCTAGAATCGGCTTCTGGTCTCTTGATAACGGAAGTGGAGACAGAAGCTGACAGAAGCTGAGCCTGTTTTCCAGGCAAACTAAAGCTGCTTTTGTTCTTCGGAATCTGCTTTGCCTCCGTCAGCTTGGTTCCTTCCCCACACATCCTGGCCGCACAGTCCCCACTCCAGACCTCTGCTGCGTGTCCTGGCAGGGCCGCGGCTCTGCAGTGGCCTTTCAACTCATCCGAAGCTTCGTGTAGATTAGTATATAGTTTTTATAAAACATAAAGCCCTTCCTCTCGATGGCAGTCGAAGCTTACCATGTGAGCACTCGAACTTCTAAGTTCTGACAGGAATAACAAAACTGCAAGGAGTGGAAAAGACGGAAAAGCCTGTGGGGAATCCAAGGCCTTTTGAAAGAAGGGAGCCGATGACTTCATGACCAGCTCCCCGAGCCCCTCCTTTCTGCTGCAGCCGCGGCATTTCCCTCCGTGGCCACACGAGGGCACCCTTGGCCCTTTTATCAAACGCCTTCACTTCCCCGTGGGAATGGAGACAATTGTGTCCATGGTGTTTTCTTGAAACACCCAGTTGCTACCCAGATTTGTATTTTTCTGTAAACAGATACATTTTCACAGAAATAAAATTTGAAAAATAAAAGTAGAAAGAGGCAAAAAACACTAGCCATGGTCTCTTTACCTGGTATAATCCCTTTTGACCCTTTAATGTTTTTTTCATGGTCCCAGCTGACTATTTTTTCTATTCTTTCCGGCTGTCCTTCTACTCTAGAATATATCCAGGTTGGGCCAGTCCTTTGGATCAAGTTTTTCTTGATATCTAGTTAAGATACTAGAGGGGAAAGGCTGAGCGATCTTAAAACAGTAACTTTCCAAAAGCCTTATATTCCAGGAGGTGTCATACCAGGATCTCCAAGAAAGCAGCTGGGTTCAGTGTTCTTTTGTTGACCCTTGTTTGGGGTTTCTCTGGTTGGCTGGCTGACATGCATGTCGTGTGTTGCTTATATGAGAAGGTGAGGGTTCTGTGTGGTGTAGATGCTGTCAGTCAGCCAGGCCTTGCTTCTCACAAGGGGCGTTTCTGGGTAGAACGTGGATCTTACTCACCCTGGGGTCTGTGTGGGCTCAAGGAGGATCCCATCTCCCCTTATGTGTCTGATACAGGATCAGATGTGGCCGCCCAGCAGCTGTGCACGTTGGGAGGAGGAGGGTCCAGGTGGGAAAAGTCAAGAGCCCTCTGGAAGAAGGAGCATTTCAAAGGTGCAGCAGTTTTATGGCGATAGAGGGGTCCCCTCAGGAAAGGGTCACGGCCACATGGTTTTTAGGGAATTTGGTGCACAGGAGACTTGGTTTGCTGGATGGGCGCTAACCTCGGTGAAACCCAGAAGAGGCTGAACAGAAGGAATTGGCTTCTGCCTCCGGCGGGCAGCGCTGATGGTGTTGAACCTTCCTAGTAATCCCGAGTACACAGCTCGCGGTGTGAGTGCCAGCACAGTATGAGAGGCCTGTGCGGCGCCCGCCCCACTGACGACGGGCGTCACGCGTGCCCGGCGTGCCTGCTCTGCTCTGTGACATTCACATTCACAGCGGCTGATGTTTTAAATTGCTGGTTGGAGCAGCTCATGCTGCCTGGCGGAGGCTGTGCTTTGTGCTCCAGGGACTACGTTGTGACTACGGAACGCCCTTGCCCCTCGAGGGGCCCTTGGAGGTGTGGCCTGTCTGCCGCTCTCAATCCAAGCAGAAGCTTGGGGTTCCTGAGGGAAGAGGAAGGCTGTGGGTGCCTCCCTCACTGGGGACCTGAGAGGAGAAGGGCTAGAGGAAAAGTACAGTCGGACTTGGCAGAACTGGTTCACAAACGATGCTCTGCGAGGGCCGGCAGGTGTGGCCCAAGCCTCTTTTCCACCCGCCCCAGGGGAGCGAGACACAGGAAAGAGCACAGGCTTCCCCGTTCAGACCTGGGTTCCCGCCAGTTCCATTCCTTGCACGGGGTAAGTCTGTTTCCTACGCCTCGTCTTCCTCATGCCAAAGATGAGGACGCTCGCTTCAGAGTCAGAGCTGCGCTTAACTGCGAGGACTGAGACCCCGGAAGACGCTGGAAACACTGGCTCCTCTTCTGATTCTTTGAATTTTCCGTTTCCATTCAGAAAACCTTCCGTCAGTGGACTCAGATGAAAAGGCTGAGACCTCACATGTACGCCTGAGGTGTGAAGTACCACCCTGACAAGGAGCAAAACCCATCCTTCGTGGGATGCAGGGAGGACGGGGGGCCGGTGTTGATGGTCCACCTTCCACCCATACTGCCTCATTGAGTAACCCCGTCAGCCTGTGTGATGTTCCTGCGTGGTGGTGGCTGAAGGAAAGGGAAGCTCAGAGAGTGTCCGTGACCTGCCGTAAGGTTATCCACAGAGCTCGGTCATAGAAATGGGATTCGAACTCAGGTTCAAGAAGCCAAGACTGGGCTCTTGTGCCAGAACTCAGAAGTCTATGGCTGCTCTTCGTGTGGAAGACACACTTCCAGGCTCGTCTGACCCACCTCTAGGGACGGCGACTGCAGTGATAGGACACAGGGAAGGAAAAAAACATCTTTCACCTTCACAGTTTAGCACTTTAAGGTAATATTATCTTCCAGCCTATGATCAGTGAGTGACATGTAGTCAGCGGAATTACTTAGAATTCTTCATTTATGCTACCAGATCTTCACGGAACTTTGTATTTGGCAGCAGTGCAGATAATGAAGTAGTTAGTGAAAGCGCAAAATAAAACGTCTAGTCAAAGTACATGTTGGACCAGCATCAACAGGAAAGAACTGATTATTAGGTAAATTATTCTTTGGCAATACATAATTGTATAATGAAAGAGAGGTTTAATTCTTCTTTTTTTTTTTAATAAGGCAGCTCCAAATATTTCACTTACGGAACAACACAAAACTGATGTGCTTTTTGAGCTTCCTGGAGAAGGTAGCAATTGCCAGAGAAACAGCCAGACCTCCTCCCCAGGCAGGGCGTGTGAACTCGTGTCAGTCTGGGAAGAGGAAAGGCTGCCTGCCATCTGGTGGACCCATTCAGGGCATGTGGCCCCAGAATCTAAAAACCAGAGCCAGGAAGTTCCCAGCTGGGGCACTTGGCTGGCCCGAGGAGCCAGTCAGGCCCCAGGGAAATGGCAGCTTGTGCTGTCCAGAGAGAATGAGAATGCCGCCCAGAGGGCACTGCTGAGCAGGCCCCCTCCTGGGACACCGGTGAGCAGGGGCCTGTGGCCAGAGACTGGCCATTTGGAAACTGTGTCTCCTGCTGGGAAAAGGGGAGTCCCTGTCTGGTCTGACACAGGATCCTTACCTCACACGTTTGTCCCAGGATTCCTGCCTTCAAGGCCAAATGTGGGGTTGTTTTGAGACAGAATTTCACTCTTGTCGCCCAGGCTGGAGTGCAATGGCGCGATCTCAGCTCACTGCAACCTCCGCCTCCTGGGTTCGAGTGATTCTCCTGCCTCAGTCTCCCGAGTAGCCCAGATTACAGGCACCCACCACCATGCCCAGCTAATTTTTTGTATTTTTAGTGGAGACAGGGTTTCACCGTGTTGCCTAGGCTGGTCTCGAACTCCTGACCTCAGGTGATCCACCTGCCTCAGCCTCCCAAAGTGCTGGGATTCCAGGCGTGAGCCACTGCGCCTGGCCGCCCAAATGTGGGTTTATTTGGGGGCTTCATCGAGCAAACTCTGGCCGTATTCAGTGAGAGCTCTGGGTGAGCACAGACGACGACTTCATTCTCAAAGGAAACCTCTCAGCCGGGCGCAGCGGCTCAGCCTGGAATCCCAGCAGTTCTGGAGGCCGAGGAGGGCAGATCACCTGAGGTCAGGAGTTCAAGACCAGCCTGGCCAACATGACAAAACCCCGTCTCTACTAAAAATACAAAAATTAGCTGGGCATGGTGACGGGCGCCTGTAATCCCAGCTACTTGGAAGGCCGAGGCAGGAGAATCGCTTGAAGCTGGGAGGTGGAGATTGCAGTGAACCAAGATCACACCACTGCACTCCAGCCTAGGTGACACAGCGAGACTCTGTCTCAAAATAATAATAATGAATTAAAAAATAAAAATACAGTGGAGTGGCTTGTGTTCAGCTCCCCCTAGTTATTGCCGTGCTAAAATAGGTGCCCAGTGTTGCTGGATCTTCTGATGTTTTGAGGGAAGCCAGAAATCCAGATTTGTGAGAAATTTGCTTAATTGTGAACCCTGACAATTAATTATTTTATTAAAAATGTATGGGGCCGGGCGCGGTGGCTCAAGCCTGTAATCCCAGCACTTTGGGAGGCCGAGACGGGCGGATCACGAGGTCAGGAGATCGAGACCATCCTGGCTAACACGGTGAAACCCCGTCTCTACTAAAAAATACAAAAAACTAGCCGGGCGAGGTGGCGGGCGCCTGTAGTCCCAGCTACTCGGGAGGCTGAGGCAGGAGAATGGCGTAAACCCGGGAGGCGGAGCTTGCAGTGAGCCGAGATGGTGCCACTGCACTCCAGCCTGGGTGACAGAGCCAGACTCCGTCTCAAAAAAAAAAAAAAAAAAAAAGTAAACCAGCTGGGCATGGTGGCTCACACCTATAATCCCGGCACTTTGGGAGGCCGAGGCAGGTGGACTGCTTGAGGCCAGGAGTTCGAGACCAGCCTGGGCGACACACCAAAACCCCATCTCTATGAAAAATACAAAAGATGAGCTGGGTGTGATGATGCGTGCCTGTAGTTCCAACTACTTGCGGGAGCTGAGGCGGGAGGATTGCTTGAGCCAGAGAGGTCAAGGCTACAGTGAGCCGAGAGTACTGTAGCATTCCAACCCGGGTAACAAAGTGAGACCTTGTCTCAAAAAAAAAAAAAAAAAATTGCGGTAAACCATTTGTTAGTGACCACTTCTGCCACCAGGGGTAGAACTGCCTGTGCTCTCGCTGCCTCCACTACCCTCTCCTCCCTGCAGCTACTGGTTGGCTTGCTGCCTGTGTTCCTGTTTTAGGTTCCTTCCTACCTCTTGAGGAATCCCAAGGAGTCTACCCATGGGCCCGCTTGCCCTTTCTCCCACTGCCGGCTGACCTCATCCACGCCAGTTACCTCAACCACTCCTCATACATTCATTGTGCCCAGATCCAGACCCGTCCTGAACTTCCAACGTCCTCATTCCTCACCCCCTGGCCCATGGCCGTGTGAAACTCCTCTGAGAGTCTGCACCTGCTTCTCCGGTCGCCTTGCTGACCATCCACCCAGCTCTCCAGAGTACAAACCTCTGTTCTTCCCTCTCCTTTCCCACCAGGTCTAAAGTCTTCCACTAAATCCCACCCGTTCCACCTTAGAAACGTCTCCCCAGTCCAGCCCAATAGAGCTTTGTAATGGCATCAACGAGTTCTGGGGAGCTTCAGAGTAAAGAAGTAGAAAGAGCAGATTTAGGTATTGTGGGCAGAGAACAAGATGAAATCTGCTTTGGGGAGTGAACTGGAAGCTTTCAAAAGAAAGAGTAGGATGGGAAATAACATCCCACAGGCAGGGGAGTTAGCTGAGATCAAGAGATGTGAGATCCCAAAGAATGGGAGGCCCTTTCTGATACAGGACAAGCCAGCATTTTCCCCCTTTGACAATTTCAAGGTTTTTTTTTTTTTATTCTTAGTCTGACGATTTTATTTTTAAAAAGCAGGACAAGCCGGGCGCAGTGGCTCATGCCTGTAATCCCAGCACTTTGGGAAGCCGAGGTGGGCGGATCGCTTGAGGTCGGGAGTTCGAGACCAGCCTGACCAACATGGAGAAACCCCGTCTCTACTAAAAGTACAATATTAGCCGGGTGTGGTGCGTCATGCCTGTAATCTCAACTAAGTCGGGAGGCTGAGGCAGGAGAATCGCCTGAACTGGGAGGCAGAGGTTGCGGTGAGCTGAGATCACGCCATTGCATTCCAGCCTGGGCAACAAGAGCGAAACTCCGTCTCAAAAAAAAAGCAGTACATTTTCATTACAAAAATCGTAGAAGGCTAGGCACTGTGGCTCACACCTTTAATCTTAGCACTTTGGGAGGCTGAGTCGGATGGATCACTTGACCTCAAGAGGTCAAGACCAGCCTGGGTAACATGGCGAAACACCATCTCTACAAAAAATACAAAAATTAGTCGGGCATGGTGGTACACGCCTATAGTCCCAGATAGGAGGCTGAGGTAGGAGAATCACGTGAGCCAGGGAGGTCGAGGCTGCAGTGAGCCATGAGCGCACCACTGCACTCTAGCCTGGGCGACATGAGACCCTGTCTGAGAAAAATTGTAGAAAATATTGAATGACACTAGAATTATACTATTCAAATTATTTTACATTTTGTTGTCTTTGTATTTTTATATGTATATTTTTTTACATAGAAAATATGGATCATATGGTACCTTACTGTTTTATAATCTTTTTCATTTAGTAATATAACTTCTTTCTTATTATAAAGTTAACATGTTTCAGAAAACTTGTAAAAATAAAAATTAGTGGTAGCCACACTGCCCAATGACAAGCCCTGCTAATACTAGCAACCCTGTTTTCTTCACATGCTGTCGGTTTTGTGAGCATTGCTTCAGCAAGCCCACTGTTCCTGGTCGGAAACTTGGATTTTCTGGTTTTCACTTTCCTTTATTTATTTTTATTTTTTTGAGATGGAGTCTCGCTCTGTCACCCAGGCTGGTGCAGTGGCTGGATATCAGCTCACTGCAAGCTCCGCCTCCTGGGTTCACGCCATTCTCCTGTCTCAGAATCCCAAGTAGCTGCGACTATAGGCGCCACCTCGCCCGGCTAGTTTTTTGTATTTTTAGTAGAGACAGGGTTACTCCATGTTAGCCAGGATGGTCTTGATCGCCTCTCCTCGTGATCCACCCGCCTTGGCCTCCCAAAGTGCTGGGATTACAGGCTTCACTTTCATGATTGGTTTCATTTTCATTATTGTAAATAGTGCTTTGGTGAATATCTTTGTATGAAAATCTTTTTTTTTTTTTTTTTTTTTTTTTTGAGACGGAGTCTTGCTCTGTCACCCAGGCTGGAGTGCAGTGGCCGGATCTCAGCTCACTGCAAGCTCCGCCTCCCGGGTTTACGCCATTCTCCTGCCTCAGCCTCCCGAGTAGCTGGGACTACAGGCGCCCGCCACCTCGCCCGGCTAGTTTTTTGTATTTTTTAGTAGAGACGGGGTTTCACCGTGTTAGCCGGGATCGTCTCTCGATCTCCTGACCTTGTGATCCGCCCATCTCGGCCTCCCAAAGTGCTGGGATTACAAGCTTGAGCCACCGCGCCCGGCCTGTATGAAAATCTTTATGGCTGGGCACAGTAGCTCACCCTCTAATCCCAGCACTTTGGGAGGCCCAGGCAGGCAGATTGCTTGAGCCCAGGAGTTTAAGACCAGTCTGGGCAACAGAGTGAGACCCCATCTCTACAAAAATATAAAAACTTAGTCAGGCATGGTGGTGTGCACCCATAGTCACAGCTGCTTGTGAGCCTGAGGTGGGAGGATCCTGTGAAGCCAGGAGGTGGAGGTTGCAGTGAACCGTGATTGTACCACTGCACCCCAGCTGGGGCAACAGAATGAGACCCTGTCTCAAAAAACAAAATAGAATTAAAAACAATAAAAATCTTTATGCATTTTTCTTATTTTAGGATATATTTGCAAAAGAATTCCTGAGGCAGAAGATAGGACTCTTTAAATAAAAAGTCTCTTCCTGTGTGATGAATTTGCTCATAAAACAGTGTGCTCATGGACATTTCCATGAGTCTCTGCTTTCACCACACCTCTCGATAGCACCAGCAGGCTAGTTTTGAAAAATTCTTTATCAATTGATAGGCAAGAAATGATTTCGTTGTTTGAATTTGATTGTGGTATTGGCAAGGCTCAACTTTTCTATATTTCTTTTTTTTTGAGACGGAGTCTCGCTCTGTCGCCCAGGCTGGAGTGCAGTGGCGTGATCTCCTCTCACTGCAAGCTCCGCCCCCCGGGTTCATGCCATTCTCCTGCCTCAGCCTCCCGAGTAGCTGGGACCACAGGCTCCCGCCACCGCACCTGGCTAATTTTTTGTATTTTTAGTAGAGACGGGGTTTCACCGTGTTAGCCAGGATGGTCTCGATCTCCTGACCTCGTGATCCGCCCGCCTCAGCCTCCCAAAGTGCTGGCATTACAGGCGTGAGCCACCACGCCTGGCCTTCTATATTTCTGTGTTAGCGCTCATACATCTATTGTTTGATTCGTTTCTGTTCAGTTCATTTTTCTATCCAGGTGCTCTTTTTCTTACTGAATTGCAGGGCCACATCTTGCTAAGATATCCCTTCATTTTGCTGGGTTTTCAATTTTTTTAAATTTTATTTTATATTTTGAGATGGAGTCTGGCTCTGTTGCGCAGTCTGGAGTGCAGTGGCGTGATCTTGGCTCATTGCAACCTCTGCCTCCCAGGTTCAAGCAATTCTCCTGCATCAGCCTCCCAATTACAGGCACGCGCCACCACTCCTGGCTCATTTTTTATATTTTAAGTAGAAACAGGGTTTCACCATGTTGGCCAGGCTGGTCTCGAACTCCTGACCTCAGGTGATCCACCGCCTCAGCTTCCTGAAGTGCTGGGATTACAGGCCTGAGCCACCGTGCCTGGCCTATCCCTTCATGTTGTCATTTCAGGCTGGAGTGCAGTGGTGCGGTCTCGGCTCACTGCAAGCTCCGCCTCCCAGGTTCACGCCATTCTGCGTCAGCCTCCCGAGTAGCTGGGACCACAGGCACTCGCCACCACACCCAACTAGTTTTTTGTAGTTTTAGTAGAGACGGGGTTTCACCGTGTTAGCCAGGATGGTCTCCATCTCCTGACCTCATGATCCGCCCGCCTTGGCCTCTGAAAGTGCTGGGATTACAGGCGTGAGCCAGCACGCCCGGCCCCTTTTTTTCTTTTCTTGAATGATGATTTTGTTTTATTTTTATAGCTTTGAGAGGTAATCAAATCTACCACACTGTGTCTTTATATTTTCTTGGTTTGCCTTTATGGGTGGAAACTCCTTCACCACCCTAAAGCTGAAAAATGTTTTCCTATATTTTATTACGGCTATTTTGGTTTTATTTTTTACATTTAGCATTTGAATTTACATTGGTGTATGGTGTGAAGTTTAAGGACCTGTCTTTAACAAATGGTTCCGCATTGTTTCAGGGTAGCTCATCAGAGAGGTGGCTGGGAAGCTCTAGCACTCCCCCCGAGGTGTCCCTGATGGCACAGGGACTGGAGCAGGCTGGGCAGCAGCGGTGTGTCCTCTCCCAGTGGGCCCTGGGGCCTTGGGGAGAGATCTCATAGTGCACCTGCAGCTGAGCCCTGGCTCTGTGGCATCTGCTCTGGGCTGTGCAGCCAGTGACCAGACACCGCTCTTGGCCTTGCCTCCGGAGAGAGCCTCATTCCTGGCATAGGCCGCTGAGCTCTTAGGCTTTCAAGATTGGACCCTACAGCCTTGCATTTGGGTGTGAACTGGGGCTGCTGGGACATGGACCTCAGTCCTTTGTGTGGGGCATGATCGCATTGCAGCCCGTCAGTCCTGGGAGGCGCCTTCCCTATCACCATGTCCCCACCCCTGCGTGATCCAGCGGACTCCTGACTCCCATGGCAAGACTCCACCCTGCTTTACTCATAACTTCTGCCCAGCCCCACTCCCTTGACCTGAATTGGTTTTGCTGTCATAAAACCACCCCTTTTTTCTGTAAAGGAATCCCTGACATCCTCGTCCATCTCCTGTGCCTTTCCGCTGGGTCAGCCTTCTCCCGCCACGCTTCTAACCCGCTGCCACCGGCAGCTCCACTCTAGCTGCAGGGCCTGACTGGGCTCTGGTTTCTCAGAAGAGCTCAGAGGACCTGGCTCCTCCCTCTTTGCTTCTGAACTGCATTTCTTTCCTTATTACTCAGTGTCCACACCCACGGTGGCTGCCTGGATAAAAATCTGCCCCCTTCTCCCGTCACCTTTCATGCCAGACAAAAGCCCCAGTAAGTAATGGCGACCTACCCAGGTCCGGCTAGCAGCTCTCCATTCCTGAGGGGTCTGGGGCAGAACGGGGTCGTGTGAGCTCCTGGACCCCAAGTCTGATTCCCTTTCCCTGTCTTCCCGCTCATCTGCTAAGCTTGTTGATTGGGTGCCACTAAGCAAAGTGAATGATTCTTGCCTGTAACTAGGAGGGGTGGAGTTCCCTCTCCATCTTCACCCACTTCTGGGAGGCTTTCAGGGACTCACCACCCCACACTTGATGCCTGGCCCAGACAGCCAAAGAAGAGGACCAGGCCGCTTCTCAACCCAGCTGACGCTTGGCAGCTTTGTGACCTCGGATACACCTTCTCTTGGGAGGCCAGGCCCCGTGATCCTAACTCTTCAGCTATGACATCATGTGAGGCTACAATTTTTTTTTTTAAGAGACAGTATCTTGCTATGTTGCCCGGGTTGGTTTTGAAATCCTGGGCTTAGGCGATTCTCCTGTCTCAGCCTCCCAAGTAGCTGGAACTTAGGGCGTGAGCCACCGCACCCACCTTCTGGAAAGGACATGAATAGGGAAGTGGAACTTGATTGGACCTGTTCTGTGAGCTCAGGAGAGGTCCTCTGACAACTCACTTGGGGTAGGGAAAGGAGGTAAAGAGTCCTGTGGAAACCTCTGGCTGTGGGGACCCCAGTTCACTGATGATTGAATGGGTCTACCTCTGTCAAAGGAGTTCAGAGTCCCACTCATCATTCAGACTGGGGGAATCAGGCTCAGCTGACTGGCCCAGCCTTAAATCCACTGAATTTCTTTTTATCTCTACATAGAAAAACAGGATTACAGTCGCTTCTCAGTGTCCAGTGAGGATTGGTTCCTGGAGCCCCCCGAATACCCGTCCAGGGGTGATGCTCAAACCCCTTATGTGTAACCTACACGCATCCTCCCTTATATCCTTTAACTCATCTCTGCGCTCCTCAAATACCTCATACCATGTAAATGCTGTGTAAACAGTTCTTGTGCTGTGTTGGTTTTTTAATTTGTATTATTTTTTCTTGTGTTTTTAAAATATTTTTCTTTTCCTGAATATTTTTGATCCACGGTTAGTTGCCTCCATGGGTGCGGAACCCACAGACACGGAGGCTGCCTCTACTCAAACGAGCACGGCGGCGCCCTCTGGGTCCTCCTGTGGTCCTGTCTCTGGTGCTGCGTCCGCACGGCGGCGAACAGCAAAACTCATCTTTTGCAAATGATCACTGTGGAGCGGAGTTCCGCTCTGTGACCTTTCGTCCCACTCTGGCTTACCAGAGGTCCCCTGGCCGTGGCCACAGCATACCTAGCCTAGTGCTTGGCACCTCAGGCACACAATAAATCTTTATGAAATGGATCTTCTCTGGTATGTCTCGAGTGTACTAGTCTTCTGTTGCTTCCTCTTCGTCCTGCAGCCAGCTTCCTCCCATGGGTCTCGTTTTCATGATGGCATGTGAAAAGCTTCTCAGCTGCTTGCAAACGACGAGACGTCAGGCTTGAAGGGTTGGGACACCTTCTGGGACCTACTGTGAACACCTGTACTTTTGGCTTCACGCCCTTTCCCCCATCTCATGACTCAGGCTTTGGAGGGGTCGGCACTGATTTTAGAAGCTCTGGGAGTTGATACTTTGTTGGGTGAGTGGTGGGGGGGATAAGAAGACAGTTTCACTAAGGGGATGTCTCTGGCTCAGCATATTAAAAAATTGGGGAATTGGTGCTTCTTATTGTGGTTGGTGAACAAAGAATAAAAGATTAAAAAATTGGAGGACATAACGAAATTTGAACTGGGGGGTGGGGTGCACAAGACCTGGGGAGGAAGCCTGAAAATGGAAAGCGTCTCTTGAGAAAGTCACCATGATGGACAGCCAGCTTTTCTCCTGCTCAAAGGTACTAAGCACCTAGAAGCCATGAAGAAACTTAGGAACAGCTGGGCGCGGTGGCTCATTCCTGTAATCCCAGCACTTTGGGAGGCCGAGAGGCAGGCGGATCACTTGAGGTCGGGGTTCGAGACCAGCCTGGCCAACATGGTGAAACCCCGTCTCTACTAAAAATATAAAAATTAGCCAGGCGTGGTGGTGCATGCCTATAATCCCAGCTACTCCAGAGGCTGAGACAGGAGAATCACTTGAACCCAGGTGGCGGAGGTTGCAGTGAGCCAAGATCACACCACTGCACTCTAGCCTGGGCGACAGAGAGAGACTCCATCTCAAAAAAAGAAAAACTTAAGGAACACCTTTTTAGAGACTGCTGGCCTTTGGATAATTCCCCAAACCTGCTAACCTTTCTGCTGAAACCAAAAAGACTTACTTCTCTTTCTCTTGAGTGAGTACAGTTGCCAGCTTCTATCCTGGCTCCACCCGACCCGCTTGGACAGGAAGCTGGGGCTAAAATGCTGAACAGCCCTCCTATTCATTCCCCTCGTCTTTCAGACCCTCACATCCCTGTTTATAGGTATCTCCCACCCCCACTGTCCATTCCCCAACTGGGGAAAGCTTGGTTGATGAAGTATTCTTTTTGGCCATTTTCAGGTTCCTGTACGCAACAACAGGCCCAGAAACAGCCTCCCTGCCTTCTTTTTTTTTTTTTTTTTTTTTTGAGACAGAGTCTCTCTCTGTTGCCCAGGCTGGAGTGCGGTGGTGCGATCTCGGCTCACTGCAACCTCTGCCTCCTGGGTTCAAGTGATTCTCCTGCCTTAACCACCCCCAGTAGCTGGGATTACAGGCACCCGCCACCACGCCCAGCTAATTTTCTTTTCTTTTTTTTTTTTTTAAGTAGAGACAGGGTTTCACCACGTTGGCCAGGATTGTCTCGAACTCCTGACCTCAAGTGATCCACCTGCCTCGGCCTCCCAAAGTGCTGGGATTACAGGCGTGAGCCACCGCGCCCGGCCTGCAGCCTCCCTTCTAAACCCTTGTTTTTGCCTAACATCCCCTGGCTGCTGTCCCCACATGACCCAAATAAACAGATGATCATGTGAAGCCAGGAAGGCTGTTTGTTTTAAATAGCAAACATCTCCGCTAAGCTCTGGAGCAGATGGGGTATTGGGGGCAATGGAGAGGCTGGCATTCAAATCCGTGTTCACTCTACTCTTACCTCCTGCTTCCTCACCCCTGAAGCCAACAGCGTCTTAAGAATACTGCTTTTCAGAGAGGTGCCTACTTAATGGTATAGACCTGGGCAATGACAAAGAAGAGTACAGAGAATTAAACCTCAGCCTTCAGCAGAAACTCCAGGACTGCCCGAGTGCATGGCCACCTGAGGACAGCAGGGACAGCTGGACCGAGCACTGCGCACCACGGCGCTGACCTCACACAAAATAAGAACTTGCCCGACAGCATTATCTCAGGTCACTATCACATACAGATGCGGCTCCACTTAGGACGGGTTTCACCAGCCATAATCGCATCCCAAATCGAGGAGCGCACGCTAGATTCTCTCTTTTACAACCATTGCTAACTTGAAAAGTCCTGTGTCGAGCCATCACAAGTCAGGGACTGTCTGTATACTGTTCAGAGTCCCTGTTCCACTGCCGCCTATAATATATATTGCCTTTTAATTTCCCATTTTCTCTAGTTGTGCAAAGGCCCAAGCATACTGGTGGCAAGTGGCAGACACCTTAAAGGAAGCAATGTTGGAGCCAGCACAGATCTAGCCCTCCCAGCAAAGGGGCATCCATTCCTTGGGGAAGAACTGGGCTGTTCCGTTCTAATCCGCCTTTGCTCCAGCTTCGTCATAAGCAAAATCAGTGGTACCTACCTGGACATTTGTGTGTGTGGCGACCTCTCCATGCTCGCCTCTAGATGCTGGGGCATTAAATGTGAAAAGATCAGAGGCCTCTGTAGATTAGCGCTGGCAAACAGCCCCCTTCCTGTGGTTCACGAAGTTCTTGATTTCCAGGATCTGTGCAGATTTTTTCCCCCCAGGATGCATTACGATGCCCTCAAAGGAAAGGAGCAAAGCCAGCAAACATTTTGCCCTCTTTCTATGTTTCTAGCTCTCTTCCAACCAGTCCCTAAAATAGGAACGCTCCGAGGGTGCCATGTGACGGAATGGATTGGCAGGGCGGCCTGCCTCTCCGCCTCATGAAGGTTTGCTTTCTGGTTCTGTGTGATGGCGAAGCCGCGGCTGTGGAGTTCTAAACCCACTGACACTGACTGCCCCTCACTTCTTGGACCGGTTAGCAAAGAAAGGGGCCTGGGGACAGAACTGAGGGTACTTCCCCCGCACTGGCACAGCACAATCGACATGCTCCGGGATGCTCCAAAGAAGTTTTCAGCCTCCGGGGGTCTATCGCTGCCGCTGTACCAGTGGGGTTCGTGTGGCTTCCACCGAGGAAGCAGAACAGCAGAGTGGGGTCTCAGCTGAAGATTTTTGTTGCCCCAATCACAGTGTATTAAGTGGTCAGGGTTGCTATTCCTCCCTGGCATTTTTCTAATTGCGGGCCCTCCCCCAGAACTGGCTTCAGAGTCGTCCCTGGGGTCAGGGGGAGTGCTCCCCCTTTGGGGGAGAGGAGCAGGTGGAATACGGAACGACCTTAGACGAGTCCTTGGCCGTCTCGGCCTCAGTTTCCTTATCTGTGAAGTGAGAGGATTTAGGGCCCGCCGGCCTCGAAGGACTAACTCTCCGACTGCACCCGGGCTCCCCTAAACACTCGCGCCAGGAAGAAGCAGTCGGGCGGGCGGGCGACGGGGTCCCTCCCTCTGGGAAGCGCGGTTCCAGCCGGACGCAGCGGACCCCGCCCCCGCGTCCCGCCCACTGCCGGTCGCCAGGCGCGGGGAGGGCCGGGCTTCCGCCCTCCACGTTGTTGTTCCCGATTTGGGCCACGCCCCCAGGGCCTTGGCTGCGGGCGCTTCGTGTTCCCTGCCCGGGCCCCGGCCCCAGAGCAAAGGGTGGCCCTGGGGTGGCACAGTCCGTGTCTCCACCCACATCGAATACGCGTGGACAAAGACTGGGGTTTAGGGGAAGGAAAGATAAAGGTTTGGTTTTAAATGGAGGGTGGCGAAAAGGAATGGGGAGGCCAGGGCATGACTGCGGGATTTCCCTTACGGCGTCCCACCCTGGGTTCGCCAAGTGGCCCCATCCGCACCCGCGAATGTGACCTGCAGACACTGGCCCTTTAAACCGAAGGCTGGCGGCGCGGGGTGTCCATGTGGAGCTGCTCCATGCCGTGTTGTCCTGCCCGCCCATTGGCCCGCAGCCCGGTGACGTCGCCTAATAGGATGCGAACGCACTGCGGGGGGAGGAACGGAGACAAAACGCGGAGCCGGACTCTCGCTCCGCTCCTTCCGCTGGTTCTCTGACAGTCTCCAGCCGCCGGCAGCTCCGCCCAGGGGCGGATCCCGGGGGAATTGCGACAGCCGGGCGATTGCGGGATTTAGGTCGCGAGTGGGTGGAGCGTGGAGACCCAGGGTCAGGCCAGTCTCTGCCATTCCCAAGGTTTCCCTGACCCGGAATATCCTGATTGGAGCTCTGTTAAATCTTGAATTGTTCATCCTTCCCTCCCTCCAGCAGGACAGATTTCGTCGTGAACGACCCAAACGCGCCGCCCCGGCCCAACTTGTGGCTTGCAGCAGGGGCGGGGCCAGCTGGAAAGCGGAACCACGGCGCGCACACCCGGCTCTGACCTCTCCCTCCCTGCCCGGGCCACGTGTGCGCGCGCCGGCTCCGGTGGGCGGGGCCAGCAGCGCAGGACCCGCCCCTCCCTTCGCGAGACGCCGCGGCCCTGCGGGCGGGGGCTCCGGTCCGGGCTTTGGCTGTGGCCCCGGTGTAGTAGCGGGGGCGGCGGCCGGGGGCAGCGCGGCTCCTTCCCTTGTTGTGTGTGTCGGTGCCTCCTCGCCATCTTGTTGCAAAGCCCTTTCTTGTCGGCGGGACTCCCGGGGGCCGCGGGGCGGGAGGCATCGGAAGGGAGGTAGAGAGGGAGGGGAAGAAGGGAGGCAGTGCCGCCTTTTTTTTTTTTTTTGCACCCATTTTTTTAAATTTGCAATTTTATATTTTGCAAATATTTTGAGAGACATTGATTTTTCTCCCCGTGCTCCCCCGTTCTTCCCTGCGGAGTGCACTGCGCCGCCCAGCCCTGTCGCCCCCCGGAGGTGATCCCTCCCTCCTGCCTGCCCGCCAGCCTGACCTGTGCCCGGCTCGCGGGCCGCAGCCTCGGCCCCGGCGCGCCCCCGGCAGCTCTCGGCGCGATGAGCATAGAGACGCTACTGGAGGCGGCCCGCTTCCTGGAATGGCAAGCGCAGCAACAACAGAGAGCACGTGGTGAGCGGCCGGGCTGGGCCCCTGGGGCACCGGGGAAGGGGAAGCGAGTGACCCCGGTCCCCGAACCCACGCGAAACCGCGGACAGGGCCCCCTCCCGGGCGGCCCGCGGA